TTGACGGTGTCTTTGATTGGTATTTGTCTTTCATTAATATACACAGCTTGACAAGTTGACTTACTAAGCGTGAAGGTAATATGAGTTGATTTCGTATCAATAATGATGCGCCATTTTTTCTCCAGGTTACTATTTCATTGAGATGATTTTGTAGGATATTAGAAGCAAGAGTAAAATAATTACTGAATATCTTAGTAGAACAATTAATAATTGCAAACAAATTGTATAACAAACAAAAAAACTGTAGATGTTGTAGCACGGATTAGATATTGATATGAGAATGTCTCTACTTCTTTCTACTGTGTTTTAGTTCATTTGACTGTTTCACTCTTTCTTTGCTGCCTTTTAATTTTTTGATAATGTTGACTCGACCCAGTCTCTTTTTCGGTTTCACAACGGTATCCAGTAATTCACTCTTCTCCTAGCCTTCGTAGTACTTTCTTATTTGTTACTTTGTCGGACACATTACCAAAATATTCAGGAATTTTTTATGCGCGTTACATAAAATCCATTTCTCTTATTCTTACAGGACGATGCTCCAAATGTAGCATTTTATCAATTTCTTCTGCAAATTCCAGGTCATGAGAATCAAATCAAATTTATTTTTATCGCTCATTGTTTTTAGACTGACTAATATTTAGTGTACTAATCATTAACATGTCAGAATAATTTCAACTTTCGAATATTCCATTTCAAAATAACATACGAGCTCACATTTACCTCGTCCGAGGTTTCCATCCTCTGAAATTGACTTATGGGTGTTTGTACATATCGTGCCGGTTGCATCGTCGCATGTTTGCGTTGCCCGATGAACGATGGCCGCCGAATGTCATAATCGAGCCAAACGCACGCACGCATCAAAAATGAATGTAGCATATATATTCATTTTTCATAACTTTTTCGTTCCGCCAACGCGATACAAATATACTGGGTGTTTTTATGATCGGTGTCAAACGTTTCTTGTTCGCTCATAAGTCGCAATGTCTCTAACCTCTCGATGGCGAAGTTATTGCTATTATTATTACTATCGCTTAAAGTCATGTCGTCGATTTCTGTCGTCTCCCTACGTTTTTACCGAAATCGTACTAAAACGTACGCTTTTTTGAGCGATCATAAAAACGTCATTTTCGAAGCAACCTATTGTTCTTTGAATTTTTTGTTTGATGTGTGGAAGCTTTTTACCGTAGAGCGTGTGGCTCTTTTGTAAAATTTTATTAATTTGAAATCAATTTGCCATATAATTGAGTTACGGATAAGTTTTTCTATATTTTGTTCAATTAGATATTTGTATTCAATTTAATTTTCAAATATTACAATACTTATGAATATTTTTATAATTATGTGCGATATAATTGTTTTTAATCATATATACATTTTCCTCTAAAATGATTAGTTTAATCCATTAGCAAACCATGATCAATAATTCACCTATCCCCAGCTTTACACGGAAGATACGTTCCAGAAAAAACGTGTAACTCGAAAAATTCACTTTTATATGGAAAAACCGTGCAAAACTAAAAACCCTTTTTGTAAGTTTTTAATAGAATGAATAGCTAATACATTGAACGAGAAATAAATATTAATATATTTAATATTAATTTATTTCATTAATAAAACAAATATAAAAAAAAACTATATTAAGTATTTCAATTTTCTTTATAGATAAAAATTAAAACTGGTTTGTTCAGATTGGTTTAGATATAACCTTTCTTTTACTCTCTTGTTTAATTATTTTCATCTTTTGCCACTGTCAAACTATATTTTTTATAAATAAAAGATTTTATGAAAAATGTTTTTGTTATTTGTTCGCTTTGAATAAACTTACGCTATCAATCATATATGACCACTAATTAAAAACAAACTTTAAAAACAATGATGCTCTTTATTTTAATATTCCAAAAAAACTAGCTTGTGCACACATAAAATTTAGTTTTGACCATAAAATGGGAGTTTCCATCTTAATCTATAGATTTCCATCATAGAGACATAGACTACTAAAAATTCGTAACATTTTGACAGTAAAACAGTTAAAATATTATTGTAGATATAAGCAAATTATAGTTTGGTGTTTACAATTTCGTGTAAAAGCAAAATTAATAAATTTTGTTAAAAAATTTTTTTTTCGAAAACATTTAAAACGAGTACCGCGTAAAACGGGGGTGTAGTGTATTAGTTCAATATTATTTCAATTTAAATATCGAAAGTCCTTTCTCATGCTTCATAAAACATTTGTAAGATTATATTGATGGTTTCAATTGAATTTTTAGGTTTGCTGACGTAGCCCAAATGTAAAATACCTTTTGTATGGGATAGTTGGCAATTCAGCTGTTAATAAGCAAAAAAACTTTTTCTTATCAATTGCATAGTTTGATGTAGCGTTCGTTGAAAGATGGAATATCAAATCAAGAATTTTAATCAAATTTTGATTTTTAATTTCTGCAAAGGTAAAATGGCATCTCAAGACCACATACGGTTATGGACTGTTATGGTGACGAAGCTTTTTAAAAAAAGAGGTAGTGTCAATTAATTTGCCACAATTCGTTCTGGTGAATTTTCACTAAAAGAGGAAAAACGCTCTGGTCGTTGATACAAAGATAGTCTATTTTTACTTTAACCGCCCAACTGGTTCCTCAAAGTCTACATTGAGTAACTATAGAAATTAAACAACGGATTTGAAGAAAATTGGCCGGAATTGACATATCGAAGCGTTGATTTATTCAATTTTTGCATATATAACATATAATAAATATCTTTGGCCATCCGACATAAATTTTTGGAGCTTATTTGGGATGTTTTGTCACATCCACCATCTATGTTTGACCTTCCACCTTTTGATAACTTTTGGTTACGAAGTTTACAAAACTCCTTGAATGGTAGACAATTTATAGATTATTATGATGTCAAATTGTACCTGATTCAGTTTTTCTGCTAATCAAAACCAGCAGTTTTATAAAAGTGGGGTAATTATGCTGCTTGAAAGATAAAAAGTCATTGATTCAAATCGACAATGAATTACAGAATAAAGCTATTTGGTTCCATGCAAAAATGTCTTCAATTTTCTAACGAGAGTTGTCAACGTGATAATTTTGTATGCATATTCTTTTGATCGACTAAAATTTTGTAAAAATAATTATATGTTATGCTACTATTTATTTATTGCATCTTTACATTTTCATTGGACCAACAGTCAAATGTTGGATCCTAAATTATCATACGCCTACTGATTTTTTGTGGGTATAGACCGAGTAACAAGTTTTGATACCAGAAAATTTATCTTTACTATTTGATAATTTATGCTACTATTTGATATTTCCACTGTGCAATTGTTTCATCAGAACTAGATAAAATGAAATATTTTAAGTGATCACATTTTTATTCGAATAGATCTCTAAACAATTTCATTAGTATCACATATTGCATCACATTAGCTGCATCTTCACGTTCTCATTCGATCAACAATCAAGAGTTAGATCCTAAATAATTAGACACCCGCTTTTTAATATAATAACTTTCATTTCCAGAAAATTGTATACTTGAAATTTCCACCATGCCATTGTTCTATCAAAATGGGTTATAATAACCTACATTTCAATTGATTACGTTTTGACTCGAATCGATACCTAAACTATTTTCATTAGTTTTGGGGTATTATAAGATAGTATTACATCACATTAGCTGCGTCTTCACGTTTCCATTGGATCACTTCCAAGTTTCCAACAACGAATTCTGTTTTTTTTCGTGGGAAAATTTATAGTGATTTCATTCGTTGTACAGTGTCGTTGTTAGCCTCCGGTTGGCCACTTATATTATCAGTATCGTGGCACTAACAGGCGTTAAAAGTTCCAGCATGCGCTTGTTTGTGTTTTGCGATGCAGCATGACCACAATGCGCCAAGTGTAAAGCTGAATTCACGCGAGTGCGACATTCGATCAGATATTGCTTGTCCGTGTTAATAATACAATGGTAATCGGAACACGCGATCAAAATAATTTATCGTGTACATTATACATCATGATAGGAATAGAAATAAAGTTTATTTAATTATTACTTAAAAACAAGTGAATTGACATTTTCAATTCCCAACGGCAAGTTGCGAAATAATCCAGTAAGTGACCGCGCCCAATTAAGTTTTTAGCTTTCTGTTTTCTTTCAATAAATTTTGTTTTGAGAAGTGTTTGTAACTGTTAATAGCTATTTTTTAAGCATTAACAGGTTACGAATAACAGTGGTTTTTGAAGCCATTTCATATAGGGTACAGCGGTGCTCGAAGTTGCGCGAGTAAAAACGTCCACCACCAATATGTCAAAACAAGTGACGTTGGTAAAGTTTCACACTATTTGAAAGTAGAGGAAAAACTATGTATAACCTTGATGAAACCAGTCTTCGCTGGTTTGATCAAGGTGTACAAAAGTATTTTCTGCATTAAATGTGTACAAAAGTATTTTCTTTCGTTGTGATTTCATTTGGTTGTGAGCACTGTGGTTTAGTTTACGAGACCTCAATATAATTTTTACGTATCTATATGTTAGTTGATTGTATAAGATGTATCGTTAATTTTAAGTTAGTTTCAACAGTTTCTTTAAATAACCTTTATAAAAGCTTACACATGCGTGGGTAAAAAGGACCCGGCGAAGGTGTACCATAAAAGATAGTATGTGAAGAAGTAAATTAAGTTAAATTAAATTAAATTAAGTTAAAATAAAGCAATTTTACAAGAGATAAATAAATAGTTATTCCAACTCTGCTGAACATTTTTGATAAATACCAGATCAAGATTATACATGACAGCTTTAAAATTAAATTAATTAAAAAGCTTTTTTGCTTTTTAAACTGATAAGTAACTATTAATAGTATTAATATACTATTTAATGCTACTCTAAAAGATTTAGTTTCATAATATTCATAAAGTTCATAATGTTATGATGTAAAATTAATAATTTTTTACATATAAATGATGTCTATCGATTGTATTAATGAAGCGGCTTATTTTATTTTTTCAGGGTAAAGTCTAACGTAAGTACTGAGTGTGAAGTCTAACGTAAGTAAAAGTATAATTCCAAACAATGTGGGAGGATTTTGAAGATCTCGGTAGCGCAAGTTGTGGTCAATGCTCTGATTGTACAAGGTAGAAATTACTTCACTTTTAACCGAGAAACTTTTTCTCATTTGCTTCAAATAGTTTCGACATTTTGTTATAGATGATAATTTTGCACTTTCACACTAGAGCTTTTTACAGCTCGTTTGCATTGGCTTCTGTATGTTTTTATATATAAGAAAGTGTTTATTAATAGGAATTTTGAGAATTTTTAAAGAGCCTGTAAGCAATGAAATCTTTTGGAGAAACTTTATTATCATTGTTTAATTATATACAAATTCAAATTATTAGTTTTAGCTATTATTATTGTTATTATTGTGTTTTTTTCTATAATTTTGTAAAATAGAAATGTGATTGTCCCATCTTACAAAAAAGTTCAAACTCAAATTCATTATATTATGGGCTCGTCCGGAGGTAAGCGGTTAAGAGCGACGGGACCTGAATCAGAGGTCCCGGGTTCGATACTCACTTATTACTTAAAAACAAGTAATACTGTTGTCAGGCAGCAGTGATAACGATTTTCACTTGGAAATATAGATAGCAATATAATTCCAAGTGAAAATAGCCCTTGCCCGGCATTGCTGCATCAATAAAAAGTCAGCCCTATTAGATTAAATCTAATAACAAAACAATCATCAAATATGGATGGATTAACCATTGGGTTACCATCTAAAAAATACGAAGAAAGGAGAAGTTTCAGCCCAACAGCTCATAGAACGTAAGGTTCTGATTGCTGTTAAAATATAAAAAAAAAATTATTATATTTTTTCTGCACAAACCTTTTTTAACAAAAAAAAAAATCGGAAATGAAAATTTTCACATATCTTTACGATTCAAAGGTTTGTGAACATTTGACATACTACTCAAAAATGAGCATCAAATTTATTTTAATTTAAGAATATAAAATTGTACAAATTTGATTTACCTGTTCCGTTGTAATATTTATTTGTTAGATTGCAACGCGGCGCTTACGCGCTTCGATAAATTTGAAAAAAGTTCAAAATTTTCAAAATATAAAAAAATCTATTTTTTTCAAAGAAGTAAATTTTTTCTGAAATTCCAGAAAAACCTATTTTTGCCGAGTTTCGAAAATTATCAAAACTTTTTCTAAAAATAACACTATTATTATAACTAACACTATTATTATCTATTTATGAGCCAGGATTATCCGTGGAGCGGATATTCCAAATGTGCATATGTGGGGAGTCTCACATGAGAACGAACGGCAGGAGAAGGCCGTAGATAAGTCATGTTCATGGTACTTCTTGCTTCGATATAATCGTAGTCTCATTAATATTATTGCATCTTCATTGGCGACGCAACTGTTCGGGTGTCGGACAGGGTTCTGCAACCATTGAAAAAACGTAAAAACTTTTTCAACCCTGCTCCACTCTATTAATACGAACTGTCTATATTAATGCACTTCATCTTTTATTATTTATTCTCTTTATTCACTCATTTATTATCTCTAATTACACTCCCTGTTCCATTATTTATTTCTATCTTAATACTTTCTTCCCTTTATACCTATATTACTCTTTTGTTATTTTCAAATATCCATAGTTATCTTATATAGTACCATACTGTCATTCATACCAACATTCATACTACTAATTTCAATTCATACTATCAGCATCGCCATCTAGGCATAGATAACAATATTAAACTCGCTGAGACACAAGGTTCACGACAAAATTTATATTAGTTTTTTCAGCTTTTAAAATTATTTCAGCTCTCAATATCACTTTTTATTATTATGCCTTTAATATCAAACGGGACGAAGGTGGGACCAAACCCGGAACTAGTGGTTACAAATCCACAAGGCCACTTCTGGCTTACTTCTAATTCTGATAATTTTTAAATACGTTACTTATTTATCATTGTCAATAAAAGGTTTCAGTCCACTGTTTTGTATTTCTTTTTCCTTGACCCGTAGGGTCCCTTGATGCTACTACGCGGTGGTCTTCTGTTTGCTAGAATTGAGCAATTAGCTGAGTATTTGTAAATAACACTAGTCATGGAATTGTACGTCGATGCATTCATTATTTTTGATTGTTTGTGAGTCATCATATGAAATTTTACACAAAAACTCTATATATCGATGTATTTATGATTGTAATGTAATGCGTCAAGGCAACAGAAATTTCTAACATTCAACTTAAAATGATTGTTATTCTAATACATTACGACATTACAACATTCTCTTATTCTTTTGGTTACAATAACTGAATTTGTTCCACGGATTCTTGATATAATAAATAGAACGAAAAGTAAATTCTATAAAACTTTGATTTTTTGTGTATGCATTAGTAAAATACGAACTCCAAAAAAAATATACAAAATATAATATATTAAAGTTACATTTTTAAATTTCTCATACATTTTTTATTATGTGCATAAAAATAATTTATTATTATATTAAAAATTTAAAAAATGTTAGATTTTCTTATGAAAACTTACAGATGTTAACTTACTAATGTCTGCATATAATAATTTCTGCATAAAATAATTTCTCTTATGTCCATTAATATTTTACGTATGTATTACAAAGATTTAAAAAACGCAATGCGTTGTATGAAAGTTGTTTTTTGTATAATTGTAACCAATAGCTGGTAATTTCTAACAGTAATTGGCGTTTTTTGCCAATCAATCATCATTATTGTTTAAAACAGTCATCGCATGTTTCAATTATAATAGACTTATTTTAAGCTATAATTGATTTTAACATTAGATTTCAATCATTCATCATATATTTTCTTCAGTTACTCAAAGTTTACCAGTAATGAGTTAAAAATGTTGTGTTCTTGTTGTAACAATTTAGCTACGATATGATTTAGCTGTTTATATTTTTTCTTTATATTAATTATATTGCATTTCTCTGATACAAAAATACTGGAATTACAGTACATTTCGTCAACTCGTAGCTTTAGACAATGCTTACAAATTACTCGTATTTAAATTTATGGTAAATTTGACAGCTGAAGTAATCTTTTTTCTTTCTCATAAATCTATTAACCCTTCTATAGTTGACATTACTCAACCTTTTGGCATTAGGAGGTTGAAACGACAATGGCCCTTAGACTTAGTCTTAGATTAAGTCTAATATATCATATTAATTGTAAAACTGAGAAGTTCTCATTGGAGTTCTTCTTAGGCATCACTCATTAACATTGTCTTTTTAGCTCATAGGAATCTTTATGTATTTCTGATTGCTAAATAAAACTGAGTTAAAAAAAAAAAAAAAAAAAAAAAAAAAATCTATTAGCTATTGTCATTGAATTCTTCTTAACAAAGTCGATTTTTAGCTCTATTCGATATATTTTATCATTTCTCTAATACAGATATTATCACTTGCTATATTACTTGACTATTGTGACTTGGAAATATATTTTCACTAATATTATAATTTGAAAGCTTGAAACAATACTGGGTATTGAATCTGAAACCTTTCTAAGGAAGCCCACATACTCTTACAGTTACAAAGTTTTATCACAATGAGTGACGATTTTGATAGCTCGTTTAATAACTGCATATAATCAATAATTACTTTATTTTGTCAGATTAAATGGACATCAATTGAATTCAGTTGATATTAGAGCCATAGCTTGAAATCGCCTTCTGAGGATTTAGGGTAAATTTTTACTTCGTGCAATTCTGAAGGTTCTATTGCTTTGAAGGCCAGATTAATTTTTTATATGCAAGTGTTAATGAATTTGATTTAATTAATTAATTTGATTAACTATTCATATGCAAGTGGTAATGCATTTTGCTCATATTAAATTTTATATCGTATTCAGTTCAACATATTAATTTTTACATATTTTTATCAACAGTTTCCAAGTAAATAGTATTTTTGTGTACGGTACAGGGTTTCAATCCGAGTATCTCTTACATGCAAATCGCGCATGTATCCTAATATATAAATATTTATTTTTTATTGACTTTGATATAGCATTCACGTGCTTATATTATTTATGTTTGCATCTATTCAATGTTCTACATAATTTTTATGTGTTCTATTCAACATCTACATCACATGGATATGCTGTACTTCATTTTTTATCCTGTACTGACTTTTTACATTTTATTTAGTATTTATAAATTATAAATTTTCTACAATAGATGTTCTTTGTAATCAGTATGGAAAACTCTATCCGAGTACGCTTTACATGCGAGTCTGTTGCCATCAAGGCTATGCCCGCCGCAGAGGACGGGCTGTAAAATGCTAAATGTTAGCAGTTTATTTGTGCAGAACCATCAGATGATTAAATTTGTAGAGATTTAAATCCATAAAACGTTTTTTTGGCATGTAATAGTATGTTACTCTACCTGAACTTGCGTTTCTCATTCGTTGCGAGTTTTCCAATATCAGCAAAAACTGCAAATGAAACAGACATCAGAGCGCAGGCAGCGTTCAACATGAAAAACTCTTCAATTAACAACGTTGTTTTGTTTCGTCTGAAAACAAATAATGGCATCATAACTCCAAAGGAAACATTATAGTAATAATGTCGGAACGCTCGTTGCCTGTACCATGTCTTAATAACCTACGCTTTATAGTCATTTCAGTTTCTTATTGTTAGCAGTTACAATCGTTCTTGTGTCGCAGCCATGTTAGGAATCTTCCTTCCGCATTGTTCGGAACCTATTCTCGTTATAGGACCATTAATTCGCCGACGTCTGTATAAAGACAATATTTGTAATAGAAAAACGACAAACTCTTTTACCACTGCCAGTCTATTGCTATATTTGTATATATATAAACGATATTTTATGTGCATTTTTATTGCTTGAGCAATCAAACATCTCGTGCTTTAATTAATAAAAGCGTCTCTCTCGAAGACGGGTTAATATATTTTCTACTTTAATAACAGTCACGCGTCAGGTAATTTTATGTTAGTACCTGTTTAATGGTTCTTGGAATATATTGGAGGTTTATTGTGAATACAAAGTAACGAGTATAGATTTTCAATGTTTTTATTGCTTTTAAACTCTTACTTTTATAATTGCTGTTCATTATTTGAAATATT